GCCCCCAGGCACTTGCGGCCCCCGATACAGCAACCTGACCAAAGCCGCCCCCGCCGCCGGTCCCAGGCCGGACTGCGGCGGCGCCCCAGAGCCCACGGGGCTGGACGCAGCTTGCACCAAATTGCAATCTTTGCAGAGACTTTTCGAACCGACTACCCCAGCCCCTCCTCTGCGGCCCCCTGACTCCCCTTCCCGTACCCCGGCCCAGTTCCCCTCCGCCAAAAAAAACTTGCTCAAAGGCCACTTTCGGAACTTCACTCTCTCCTTTTGCGACACCTACACCGTCTGGGACTTGCTGCTGGGCATGGACCGCCCCGACAGCCTGGACTGTAGCCTGGACACCCTACTGGGAGACCTGCTGGCTGTGGTGGCCAGCCCGGGCTCCGGGGCCTGGGAGGTGTGTAGCAACTGTATCGAAGCTTACCAGCGGCTCGACCGACATGCTCAGGAAAAATATGACGAGTTCGACCTCGTGCTGCATAAATACTTACAGGCAGAAGAGTACTCAATCCGGTCCTGCACGAAAGGCTGTAAGGTAGGGACTGGCGTCCGCGGCCACAACAGCTGCTTTGGTGGCGGGAGTGGTGGTGATGGGACCCGGAGCAAATAGGTCTCCCCCACAACACCCCTCCCCACCTACCTCTCCCATGGTTCTCAGCGGGGTGGCACTAGGAGTGCTACTTGGGACCCTCCCCTGAAACAGCACCTCAGGGATTAGGGGCAGGTAAACACCTGGCCAACATCTATTAATTCCGGGTTTGGATACCATCTGACAAGGGCTGCCTGGCGCCCCGCCCCGCATGAGGAGGGAGGGGTCACTGGGCTCTGGGCTGGGAAGGGGGTGGAAAGAAGAATGGGGCCCCCAATCTCCATTCCCAGCCAGCGGTGCCCCCTTTCTTTTCTGGGCCAAAACTGAAAGCTCTGGGGCTGATTGAGGGTGACGGATGAGGCCAAAGGTGGGGAGCAGAATGTTTGGCCACCTAATCCTCACCCTTTGGGCCCTGCCAGAGGGTGAGATGAGGGGCACTCCTGGTATCTGGTTGACCTTACTTGACCTGAGTTGGCCAGCCAGAGCCCAGGCAGGTGCAGCTCAGGAGTGTCTGTCTCCTCCTGAGGAAGCCCTGCCAACTCCTCTCCACTGACAAAAGAAGGAGCTGGGAATGGGGCACAGTGGCTCAGGGGAGGGCCACTGATGGCTGGTGCATTACCAAACTCCAGTGCCTTCCCAGCGCCCTGGGGTAGCAGTGGAGGGAAAGCTGGCTTTCTGGCTGCTGGGGATAGACACCCAGAGGAGAGGGGCTGCCACTGCAATATAGGCCTGCCTAGGGCACAGCTGAGTGTTGAGAAACTTCTTGACCCTCAGAAGGGTCGTTCTGGGCAGTAGGTGTGCTGGGGCTCTGAACATTTGGGATACACTGCTATTGCCCTGTTCACCCAGCCTGGCCAGGTGGCCTGCCTTTGGGAGGAGAAAGAACAGCAAGGTCAAAGGGTCAAGTGACAAGGAGCCTAGGTGGGGTGGTGCCTCCTCCATCCTCAAACCAAGAGCTGAGAGCTGGAGAGAGAGACATTTGCCTCCTAGCCTAGCTTGTCTCCCTCCAAAGCTTTTGGGAGGGTCAGAAAATGCCCCTTCCCATCCAGCACACCCCCTGTGGACTTCTGCAGGTTTCTGTGCTCTTGGTGGGCTCCTTGGGGATTTGGGCAGGGGGTTGGGGAAGAAAGAGACAGCTTCTTGCTCCTGACTTCACTTTCTCGGTCTCCTTTTTCCTGTTCTCGTAACCTAGCAGTCTCCCTCCCGCCTCCCTCAGCCTCAGCTGACTCACTGCCTCACTCACACTACCAAATGAGATATTCCACTTCTTAAAGGTGTACAGACAGCTAGAGACACATGCGTGCACACGCACACACACACACTATCTTAGACCACCACCACCATCACTCAGGGCAAAGTCACACAGAGATTGAGAGAGGTCGTCACACCCATGAGCAGTGTCAGAGAAACAGACAACGTGCCACACACACGCACATCTCCCTACGATGTCAGAGACACACCGGCAGAAGTGCTGTCACATGAAGAAGGACACATTTTGTCACACAGAGGTAGAGGCACATACCATCAGTGTCAGCGGGAGCAAAGGAGGTGGTCCACTAGCAGATAGAATAAAAGAGGTCTGTCTTGTGGTCCTCCCTCTAACCCCACAGCTGGGGCTTTTCCCACCTCAATCACCAGGAGATGCACTGGAGGCCACACCACAACTTCCCCATGGGGATTTTTCCATGTTAGAGTTGGCTTTAAGCACCTTTCAACTCTGCATTAGTGATCCTTCATGTTGATGGTATTTACCAAGCACTTTGATGTAGGAAAAAGACAGCTGATGCCTCAGGTTCCAGAGACCTCTTCACCTCTACCACTTGTTAGCAGTGTGACCTTGGGCATGTCACTTCATTTCTGTAAGCTTTCATTTCTTCATTTGTAAAACAGGGATAATAATCCTTGCTCTGCCCACATCCTGAGGCTTTCATGAGATTTAAGCAGGAAGAGGCAATGTTTTGTAATACAAGTTTCCCCTGCTATGTGAAAGTAGTTTGTTTCTGTTTGGTGTGATTTGGTAGGTGACTTTTTGGGTCTGGGAATGCTATTACCACTAATTTATATGGAAAAAAAATCGAGCATTCTTAGACCCAAAAAATAACCTACCAACTCATACCAAATAGGAAAACTACTTTTAGGGATGATGACGGGATCCTGTCTGATGTAACACCTGACATCTGGGTAATACTTCAGGAGGTTTCCGACCTCTCTCACGTCTATTTGGAGATCACAACTGTCCAGGGAAGTTGGTAATACCAGTCTCCCATTGTATAGATGAGAAAACTGAGGTGCAGAGAGATCAAGCAGTTTGCCCTAAGGTCACTCAAAGAAAGAGCCAACTTGCCAGGTCTCCAACCTGCTGAGCTTCTGTTTTTTTTTGTTTTGTTTTGTTTGTTTGTTTATTTGTTTGTTTGTTTTGTTTTGCTTTATTTTTTTTTTTTTTGTTTTTTGCCAGGCCTCCTATCAAGTCACCCATGGCGAGGGCCCTCCCTCCGCTCCTTTGTCTCCCATGTGCTCTCAGCTCCCCAACCAACTCTGCCCACTGTCTCGCTGCCTGCTGTTCCAGGAAAAGGGCAGGGCCAGCGCCCCAGCTTTCTTCCTATCATTCTCAGCCCTCTTCTGCTCTCACCCTCAACTGAGGCCCACGGGATCCTTCATTCCAGTGGCATTATGGGCACACAGGGAAAGACAGCCCTTCTCTCCTGCTTCCTGCAGCCCTTCTCTCCCCAACCCATCACCCCACCGCTATCCCATTACTTTGCTGACTCCTGAATCTGACCCCAGGACTCTGAAACCTCCTGTCTAGCCCTCACTCAGAACAGGATCACTTAGACAAGATGCCTCATCCTCAGAGCTTCTCCCAGTTGAAGTACTCACAGTTCTAGGCCAGGATGAGTAGACTGTTTTCTACTTCTAGAAACCAACCCCGGAGGCCCTGCTCCAGGACCAGGTGACCCCTCTCCCCGGGGATCTTTCCTGAGTGTCTCAGCCAGATTGAAATTCCTGTGTGGTCCCGGAGACCCTGTTCTCTCCCTTTGCAATGTCTGTCCCTGTTTCGGGCTACACAGGGCCCCACACATCATACCTGTCCTCACTGCTGCCTGTGACACCTCCCAATTTAGTACCAGCTGCGACATTTCTTTAATGTGCGACTGACTTCCTCTCGCACAGCAGGGCAATGTTAACTTAGGCAGTCCGATGCCCATCCCCACCCTGCCCTCTCCCAACCCCAGCAGCCCGCCCCCACCCCTCCCTCATCTCCCTGGGCACACACCTCTAAGTCCTTGCCTCCCTCTCTCCTTGGCCCTGCCTACAGTTTCAGGATAACCGTCTCACCCCCTCCACCTCTCTCCATTTTTTTTCCAAACCCGCCACACCCCTGCTTGGTTCTGGTTACCTCTTTCCTCACTCCTGCCCCTGCCCCTGCCCCTTCTAACTCTAAATTCAGGGCATTTGCACTGGTGGTATTGGTGGAGGTGGAAGTCAAACTCTCGCCTCTTCTCTCATAGCTCTGCTCCCAGGGAGAGAAGCTCAAGAGAACATTTCTTAGTGCTTACCAGTCAAGGGGCCCCACTAATAACTGTCAGTGCTCAGGAGGAATGTGACCATCTTGCTCTATTCTGGACTGGCCCTAGCCCATCTGCTAGCCTGTGTGCTTGGTTCTGGTGCTCACCCCACAAGCAGGTTGGGAGGAGCCTCGAACTCATGTTTTCCTGCATTGAGTTGAAGGAGCAAACATTTTACCTAGAGAAGAAGAGACCTGGGGGCATGTGGTCTCTGAGTTTACCCCTCAGAATTATTATGATGCAAGAGAAGATGCGTGTCCTACTTAGCCCCAAAGGGATATCACAGAGAGTCCTGACTTCAAACCCAGCTTTTATTTATTTATTTAGTATTTTTGTGATCTTGAACTATGGGTTTCAACTCTCTGAGCCTCACGCTCCTCATCTGTAAAATGGAGCAGCCATGTGAAGTAAACTTGGTGCCTAGGTCTGGCTCATTGGTGTTGCATTTGCAGTTTTTCCCTCCCTAGGGTGGAACAGATTGCCTTAAGAAGAGGTGAGCTCTTGCTCCCAGAAAATGTCTTGCCCAATGCAGGTGGACCCCTGTAGGGAATTCTGTGAAGGTGACTAACTCCAGATTTGGGGGGGGGAGTTGTATTAGGTGACCTCTGAGGTCTATTTCAGCCCAGATCAGCCCAGAGTTTAGGCCCTTGGGCAGAGTCTACTCCCTGAAAGGCAGCACTCTCTGGGAAAGGGCTGGGAAGGGTGCCTTACACCCACACACAGGGGAGGGGGGCTGCCAGAGCTAGCGCCTTGCCGTCTGCCCATACCCATTGGGGCCCTGCTCTTCCTCCACTCCGGCTGGCAGCTGTTTCTGCCTCACTGCCTTCCTCTCTCCTCCCACCTGCCACAGCTTTCCTGCCAAGCAGGACTCCTGGGCTAACACTGTGCGGAGAGCACAGTACTCAGGCACTGGGCAAAGGGCAGGAGTTGGCCTGTGGTCCCCTTTGTCACCCAGACTTACAGGTAGGGAGCAATCCCCTACAGTCCACACCCCTGATTCTGCTTGGGGGTGGAGAAAGGGGGAAGCCTTCAGAAGGCAGCCTCCTGAGAACCACTGCAAAGCCTCCCCTGAGTAGGAGCCACCATTTGCACAGCCCCTCCTTGCCCAGGATTGTGGGATCTGGGAAGGGGCACAGAACATGAGTCCTGAATCTGGGACAGAGAAGAGACAATGCTCAGAACTCCCATCGCGTTATGACATATAAATATGAGACTGGAAAAGTGACTTCATGCTACCTCCAGAGGCCCTCACCCCATCCTGATCCACCCCTGCTCCCAATGTCCACACACCCTCCCCCCCAAATTGTAGTGCATACCCACCCCTATACCCTCGTACACCACTGGTGACACAGCCTTCCGTCTTCTATTAGAAAATCACCC